AGGCGCACCGCCTCAAGAACAACCAGTCCAAGGTGCCCGGACGCCTGGGCCCCGGGGCGGGGCCGCCCGCGCGCCTGGGGCCCCGGGGTGGGGGGTGCCCGCACGCCTGGGCCCCTGGGATGGAGATGCCTGAGCCCCTGGGAGGGGGGGCGCCCGGATGCCTGGGCCTGTGGATGCCTGGACGCCTGGGCCCCTGGGGTGGGGGTGCCCGGATGCCTGGGCCCCTGGGGTGAGGGACACCTGGGGCCCTGGGATGGGGGGTGCCTGGATGCCTGGGCCCCTGGGTGGGGGTGCCTGGACACTTGGGTCTCCAAGGTGGCAGTGATGGATGCCTGGGGCCCTGGGCCAGGGTCACCTGGACACCTAGGTCCCTGGGGTGGGGGCTGCCCGGACACCTGGGTCCCCAGGGTGCAAGGGATGGGGCGAGTGGGGTTGTCCAGACGCCTTGGTCCCTGTGGCACGGGGAGAGCAGTGACACCTGGGTCCATGGGTGCTGGATTGGGGGCACCCAGACACCTGGGGGAGGGAGCGGGACTGCCTGGGCGCCTGGGGCCCCGGACGCCTGGGCCCGCGGGTGACAGGGCACCACAGTTCTTTCGGGTGCTGAACGGGGACAAGATGGAGCACAAGATGACGGGGACGCCGCTGCAGAACAACCTGGAGGAGCTCTTCCACCTGCTCAACTTCCTCACGCCCGAGCGCTTCAAGTATGGCCCCCCGGCGTCCCCCCCGCGGCCCCTTGCATGTCCCCTCATGTCCCCTTAGCGTCTCCTGTCCCCATGTCTTCGCACCCCCCCGCGTCATTGCACGCTCTTTGTCCCCTCCTGTCCCTGCGTCCCCCCCCGCATCCCCTCATGCTCCCTGCGTCCATGTCCCTCTGTGTCCCGTGTCCCCCGTGTCCTTGTGACCCTGTATCCCTGGGTCCCCTTCTGTCCTCCCATGTCCCCACATCCCGATATTCCCTGTTGTCCCCTCGTGTCCCTCCATGTCTCCCTGTGTCCCCCCCAGGTCCCCATGTCCCACCACGTCCTTGTGTCCCAGCATCCCCGTGTCCCTGCACGTCCCCTGTGTGCCTGTCTCCCTATGTCTCCACGTGTCCCCCCACGTCCCCTGTCCCCCTACATTCCTGTCTCCGCCTGTGTCCCCACGTCCCCGTGTCCCCGCGTCACCCGTGTCCCCCCCCAGCAACCTGGAGGGCTTCCTGGAGGAGTTTGCTGACATCTCCAAGGAGGACCAGATCAAGAAGCTCCACGACCTGCTGGGCCCCCACATGCTGCGGCGCCTCAAGGCCGACGTCTTCAAGAACATGCCGGCCAAGACCGAGCTCATCGTGCGCGTGGAGCTCAGCCCCATGCAGAAGTACGGCCCGGACGCCTGGGCCCCCTGCCCGGCCGGGCCCTCGGGAGGGTGGTGGTGGGGCTGTCTGGACACCTGGGTCCCTGGGGATGGGGCAGGGTCACCAAAGCACCTCAGAGCTCATGGTGCATGTGGAGCTCAGCACCGTGACGCCTGGGCCCCCTGCCCGGCCGGGCCCTCGGGAGGGTGGTGGTGGGGCTGTCTGGACACCTGGGTCCCTGGGGATGGGGCAGGGTCACCAAAGCACCTCAGAGCTCATGGTGCATGTGGAGCTCAGCCCCATGCTGAAATACGGCCCCGGATGCCTGGGTCCCTGAGAGGGGGGGAAGGGGACACCCGGACACCTGGGTCCTTGCCAGCGTGGGGGCACCCTGGAGTCCCGGATGCCTGGCTCAGGGAACGCCTGGGTCCCCGCTGCCCAGGGAGGGTGGCACCCCAGCCATCTGGGCCCCGGGGGAGGGTGGCAGCCCCGGACGCCTGGGCCCCAGCGCGCTGTGCCCCCAGGAAGTACTACAAATACATCCTGACGCGCAACTTTGAGGCGGGAGGGCCGGGGGGACATGGGAAGCTGGGGGGGGACGTCAGGGGCCTCAGAGGGGGCATTGAGGGTCTGGGAGGGTCATTGGGGGTCTAGGGGCAGATGTTGGGGACCAGGGGAAGCTGGGGGGACATTGGGAGCTGGGGGGAGACCATT